TAACTCTACCATTTCATGATCACTTTCACCTAAACTGCCTTCCACTTTCAAATTCTCAACCAGTTCCTCCCTATTTGTCAAAATCAAATCTAGAACAGCTTCTCCCCTAGTAGCTTTCTCCACTTTCTGAAATAAAAAATGGTCTTCAATACATTCCAAGAATTTGTGGGATAATCTATGCCCTGCTGTGTTATTTTCCCAACAGATGTCTAGGTAGTTGAAGTCCCCCATCACCACCAAGTCCTGTGCTTTGGATGATTTTGTTAGTTGTTAATCCTCATCCTCTTCTTCATGGTTAGGCTGTCTGTAGTAGACCCCTAACATGGCATCACCCTTGTTTTTTCCCCCTTTTATCCTTACCCAGAGACTTTCAACAAGTCTGTCTCCTGTTTCCATCTCAACCTCAGTCCAAATGTACACATTTTTAATATATAAGACAACACCTCCTCCCCTTTTTTCCCTGCCTGTCCTTCCTGAGCAAGCTTTACCCTTCTAACCAATATTCCAGTCATCCATATTATCCCACCAAGTCTCTGTGATGCCAACTATGTCATAGTTGTGCTTATTCACTAGCATTTCAAGTTCTTCCTGCTTATTCCCCATACTTCTCGCATTAGTATACAGATATCTAAGATACTGATTTGATTTCCCCCGTATGTTCTCTCTTGTCTCTCCCTTATGCCTGCTAAATGACCAATGCTCCCTCCAGATTCCAACCCTTCTCCCAAGTCTCCATGTTTTTGACTTACCTGTGGGCTTTTGTAATCTGCCTCCATCGAACCACACATGCACTTGTCTAATCTCCCAGAGATCTGTGCCTGGAGAAAGACCTCCTCATACACAGCCCCCCGCCTTCCATGCAGAAGCAGGACAGAACCATCTCTGCAGCACTGTCCCCACAACTGGCCCTACTTATTTGCCCCCTTTGGGGGATCTGTGTAAAGGGGTGCTGGGGACATGAGGAGGAACAGCACAGGAGAGTGTACCATGGCACTAACCTCTGCTCTGCATCCAAAATTTCTGCAAAGAAATCCTGGTGGGCGCTAACACTTTGTATTATCTCCATTTAGGTCTTCTCCATAGCAGAACGGCTCCAGCAGAAATTGTGTTTCCAGGGGCCCACAAGGATGGCTGTGGGCTCAATGCAAAAGTGGGGATATCCTTCCTTGTGTATTCCTACAATATGCAAGTTTGGGGGATTGGGGCTGGCCTCCAAAATCCACGCGCTGTCCCCTTCCCACCAGATGGGATAGTGTGAGGAGAACCCTGTGATGGAAACCTTATGGAGTTTTCTTTCCCCCTACAGCTTTCCTGTTTTGTTTTTTTAATGTGCGAGAAGGAAATGTCTCATAGTACTTACATACATAATATATGGAAAAAACACATCTTTACATGGACCTATTGATGGAATTTGCTGTAATTTACTGTCTATGGATGTGAGACACAGTCCTGCAAACTCTTACTTGTATAAGCAGTCCCTACTCACCAGTAGACCCAATTATTACCCAGTGTGAGAAAAAGTTTGCATGATCAGACCCTACAGTTTAATATGTTGTTAGCTTATGAATGACTGGTTTTAGTTGTATAAAGCTCCCAGTTGCTTTTGTGGTGGGCACTGATCTAAATGTCTAAATAAATAGCTTCACAAAATTTATCCAGGTATCACTTCACCCACTAATGAAATGCATCCATGAAGGTACTTCACCATGTCTCAGTACTATGATTTCAGAACACAGAGTGTTTAACTTACTCAAATGAACAGCAATTTGCACAATATCAAAAGGCTGCAACAGAAAAATCTACAAGTCTGATGAGAACTGACAACCTCTACTTAAGAGTCAAGCAAGGAAGCACACATTCCATAACTACAGGAAAAAATGTGAATGTGGATCTGGTGCATCTCAGATCCATCTCCTGGATCTCAGATTATTCTCCTGAAAGCAATCCACAATGTGGGAAGGCAACACACGGATAAGTCGATTATGCCAACAGAAACACTTGGCAGGTAGACAAAGCAGTAGTGGAGTGGCTGTTCAGGAAATGGTATTGCCAAGTAACGAGAAAGCTTTCAATTGCATATCAAGAAACGAGGATTAAGGGACTAGAGATGGGGGGAAAATATCCCTTAGAAGACATCTACATTTTACTTCTGACGTCAATGGTTCTTTCATTACTATGCAGGTTTACGCTGCGTTATAATAACAAAACCAACTTGAGAGCACTGGGGAACCCCAAAGGCCAACACAGAAAACTATTTAGAATGATTTCTGTCTTCATCTTTCATAAAAGGGTAAAGAAATCAGACCTTCAGGATGACATCTTGACTGGTTAGAGAAGAGTCTTAAAATTTATATAATTTCTACTCTGATGTTCTGCAGAACATTGCCACAGTCCAAAAGGATTTATATAAATATAGGTCATCAGATGCCTGGGATGAAGCAAAATGACATTCAGGAGAACACACATCAAGAAGTCCATTTGCAGTCTAGTGACATCACAAACTTTCCCACAGTTTCAACAATTTACTAGCACCAATGCCAGTTTGCCACCAAAATGCCTAAAGCTTGTGAGAAACAAATCTCTTCTACAACTTAGCATCAGGAAAAAGGGTCAGAATAACAACTGCATTTAACAGATCCACCCATTTCCTATCGTCAGTGCCGTCTGTCTTCCTGGCAGATTCTTGATAGTTTGTACTGGAAGCTTTGATTGTCAAAGCTCATGTATTAAGCTAAAAATACCTCATCTTCTTGCATACAATTTCTTCTTAATATTTCTCTCTGTGTCTATTATTCTAAAAAAGAGTGACACATGGTGGAATATACTTATGTTGATGGACCTCCAGCATGCTAGTTGCTCTCAAAAGCATAATTCATTTTAATAAAGCTATTTAAAAAATAAACTTTAAAAGGAATATGGACAACAACTTTCAGGTGTGATGTGTGCATTTGTGTATGCAGCAGTGGTCTGCCTTTGGCTTATCCTGCAGGAAATTTACAGAAGGATCATGAGACAAATATATCATAATTGCCTCTTATGGGCTCATCACAAACTGGTTGAGCATCACCATGTGGTTGAGCATCACCTATGCGGTTAAAAATGTGCAGTACCAAATACCCATTTGATTTTTAGTTATGCTATTGCCTGTGGTAATGTGCAGTTGTGTATCTCTACAGAACTGCTACATCTTTATTTCCTCTCCTAAATCCAATGGAATTGCATTAAGGTCACAAATGTATTGATCACCCTTCCTCAATATTTATTTACTTATTTCCTTTCTCCCACCTGCTGTTTGTCTTGTCCAGTTAGTTTGTAAGCTGATTAAGGTACTGACTGTCTCTCTCTGTGTCTGTACAGTGCCTAGCACAATGGGGCCCTGACTTCATTTGGAGCCTATAATCACTACTGTTACAGAAATAATAATTAAAAAAGTAAGTAAAATAATACAAAAATGTGTTGTAGTAGTCAAAGAAGTGTTCTGTTTAGCTTTAATAAAAAGTTAATTAGTAGTTAAAAGTCTGGATATGCAAAAGGTGAGATTCCGAAAGAAACAGTCACTTGACCCCTTACACGTATTAGTTGGCTTGTTAGATACATGCTGTACTGTGAGACACATTCAATGTGGGTATATTGACATTGCCAGGAATACACTAACTTTTGAGTTTTTAAAACATCTAGGTGTCATTCTTTTGAATTTTAAAATTATATTTCACAACAGGGGAAATTAAAGTCCATGAAAAAGCACAAATGAAGTGGGATGTTTTCATGATGGGTGCCCCAAACACTTAGCAGAAAAGCAGTACTGGAAAGGCTGAGTTGACTTAACTATAGCTAATCTCTAGATAAACATCTTTAAACTGAAATGACTAAGCATGATTTTGAAAGGCTCTTATTCTCCAGCTCCTTTTACCCATGCACTTGAAATCAGAGACCACTTTAATTTGTCTCTGCTCTGCTGAAGCCCACTGGAAATACTCTGTTTTCATATATGCACAGGTAACCCACCTGACCAGTTGGTTACATGCATATGCACCTTGCCGGGTAGAACAGAGCTTTGATTAAAGTGCCTATAAACCTAAGCCATGGATACCTGCTCCCCTATAATGAAAGACGCATCCCTCACTGTGGATAACCCCCTTTCTTCGAGCAATCCATATCGTTAGACATGTAATAGTTTATTCATACGAGCAGGTGCAGAGCAGCACCCTAGCTGAACAGGGTAATAGGTGCATGAGATGAATAGGTGTGTAACAGCAGTGACAGCGCGTGAAGCACTAAGCTGAGCACAGAGAAGGGAATTCGGGGATCCATTTACCATCTGCTGGTGCAGTCCTCTGCAAGAAGCCTGGGCTGTTCTTGGAGACTTTCAGGGCGAGGAGCAGCAGGGCACTGAGCTAAGCAGCGGCAGCAGCAGGTGCCGAACCCAAGCGGGCTCCTCCTCCACCTGGCAGCAAGCGAGCGAGGGAGGCAGGGACCGCCATCCGGCCGGGGAAGGCAGGCAGGCTCTTGCTGAGCGAGGGGTGCGTTCGCCCGGGGAGGACTGGCGGGAAGGGGGGTTGCCGTCAGCTGATGGGCCACGTTTTGACGTCGGAGTCATTCTCCTCTTGGATAAAGCCCCGCCGCCGGCTCGGACTGCGCTCGTCGCCGTTCCCAGCCCTGCACCAGGGAGCGCGGCTCGGGCGCCCGGGACGGGTCCCCCAGCCGGGGTGGCGGGGGGTTCCGCGGCAGGCCGGGGCCAGCAGGGCTCGCTCGCGGTGGGGCCGCGGCTCGCCCCGAGCGGGGCTGTTCTCCGGTCCCCTGGACAGGCTGGGAGCCCGGCGCCGAGCCCGCGGTCACGCTCCCTCCCGCCGGCGCCCAGCGCCATGGCCGCGCGTCCCCCCAAACTTTGCCTGGGGCCGGGCACGGAGGCGCAGCCGGCTCCAAGCCCGCCGCCCGCGCCCTGAATCCCGCTGAGTCCCCCGGCGGCCGCTCTCCGCTCCCCTTCCCACGCGGCGGCCAGCATGGACGGGCCCCTGAACCTCTCCGCCACCCCGTGGGCAGCAGCGGCCAACCGGAGCGGCGGCGGGGGCCCCCCGGCGGCCCTGCCCGGCCGGGCCCCGCTGTCGGTGTTCGGGGTGCTGCTGCTCACCCTGCTGGCGCTCCTGGCCGCCGCCACCTTCCTGTGGAACGTGCTGGTGCTGGCCACCATCCTGCGGGTGCGCGCCTTCCACCGCGTGCCCCACAACCTGGTGGCCTCCATGGCCGTCTCGGACGTGATGGTGGCGGCGCTGGTCATGCCCCTCAGCCTGGTGCACGAGCTGGCCGGGCGGCGCTGGCAGCTGGGCCGGGCGCTGTGCCACGTGTGGATCGCCTTCGACGTGCTGTGCTGCACGGCCAGCATCTGGAACGTGACGGCCATCGCCCTGGACCGCTACTGGTCCCTCAGCCGCCACCTGGAGTACACCCTGCGCGCCCGCCGCTGCATCTCCAACGCCATGATCGCCCTCACCTGGGCCCTCTCCGCCGTCATCGCCCTGGCCCCGCTGCTCTTCGGCTGGGGCGAGACCTACTCCGAGGGCAACCAGGAGTGCCAGGTCAGCCAGGAGCCTTCCTACACGGTCTTCTCCACCTTCGGCGCCTTCTACCTGCCGCTCTGCGTCGTGCTCTTTGTCTACTGGAAGATCTACAAGGCGGCCAAGTTTCGCCTCGGATCCCGGAAGAGCAACTCCATCACCCCCATCGCCCCCGAAGGGCTAGAGGTGGGTCGAGCCTGGGGTTTACCAGCTGGCCTGGGCTGGGTGGCAGCTGTGATGATGTCCATGGCCCTGGGACCCCGCTCTGGCCCAGCCCTGCGGGGGAAACTTGCCCGAGGACTGTGGAGCACTGAGGTATAGAAGGGAGACTTGCAGGCCAAGTGTGCAGTCATTGGGTGCTAGTGGAAACGTTGTGCGGGAACTTTGAGCCTGACTGAACCTCTGATTCAGGCTAGTGAGCAATGACTCACAGAAGTAGCCCCTTGAAATCCTGTGGGTCAGTGCTCACTTGTATGACTGAGGGTTTCACAGGTGAGTCTGGCCCCTTAGGAGTTAGGGGTGGAGGGTCAGTAGGCAACCACCCAGAATATGGAAAATAACCTGACATAGTCTTAGGGGAAATGTGTGTCTGTGCAGGCACCTACACAACCTTGCAAATTGTTTCCTAATGGTGGCTGGATGCTTTGAACTCGTGGTTTGCTGGTGTATTAATCAGCTATATGACTGTTTTTGGCGATAATGTATGTTGTACGCTCTCCTAGTGCATTTTTCTCCTTTTCCCCCATCATGTGCCCCTCAGAGACTAGCATAGTCAGAAGAAGCAGGCAGGGCTGTGTGTGTGAGAGAGAGCTCTACTGCTCTGATTGTGCTAAATGTGTGAAATATACATGGTCGGATTGTGATAGTGGGAGTAATTGTGCATATGCAGTTTCCACTATCACTGCTATTTTTATAACCTCCGTTATTCAAAACTCCTGTTTCCCAAAACAGGGTCATATACTTCACATCTCTTAAATAGAATAAAGTTGCACTGTTGACCCAAACTACTTCAGTGTGCCCTATCACATTCATATAACTGCAATTGTACTGTAGATTGTTTGCTGACACATGCAGTATGCCTGGTGTGATGATGGGCTGCAGGCAGGGTGCATATGTTGACGCTTGTGCTCACATCTAGCAGGTGAAGGAGGCCTCCCAACAATCCCAGATGGTCTTCACAGTCCGCCACGCCACTGTTACCTTCCAGACCGATGGAGACACGTGGAGAGAGCAGAAGGAGAAGAAAGCTGTCCTCATGGTGGGCATCCTTATTGGGGTCTTCGTACTATGCTGGATCCCCTTCTTCATCACTGAACTCATCAACCCTCTCTGCTCCTGTGACATCCCACCCATTTGGAAAAGTATTTTTCTATGGCTCGGCTATTCTAATTCCTTTTTTAATCCATTGATCTATACGGCTTTCAACAAAAACTACAACAATGCCTTCAGGAACCTGTTTTCCAGACAGCACTGAGCAGCAAGCAGGAAATGGGAGGAAACCCCCTCTTCTCCAGTAACCCCTCTAAAAATCCATCACCTTCCCTACTTAGCACATCCTATGCAGACCAGGGAACGCTGAAAGAAACTCTCAACTACAGAGATCACCAGAATGATTCATTGAGCTCATAAAAGATTGCCTCTGAAATTCAGCAGCCCTCAGAGACTCTGCCCACACTTCCTTTCCCACCCTCCAAGCCAGTCATTTTGTAAACAGCACACAAGGGCTTGCTGAGACTCCAGCTGTGTCCTTTTCCAGCATGTGGCTGACTTCACCCTCTCTTCAGTGATGTCACTCAGGTGCAGTTTGCTTGCAAGCAGGGCAGAGAAGTCCATGTAACACAGAAGGGTTTTTGAAGCCCAGTGCCTGCTTAGCTGCTCTTTGCATTTCAGAACTGTTAATTTGCATATTCTCATATGCAAAGCCAAACTCCTTTAGCAGTAGGGTTTCTCATGACTGTGTGAAACATGCATCTGAAGAAGTGGGGTTTTTTACCCATGAAAGCTTATGCCCAAATAAATCTGTTAGCCTTTAAGGTGCCACTGGACTCCTCATTGTTTTTGTGTGAAACCAGCTATTTTACTGAAAAAACTATTTTTCAGAGGTGAAGATGGAATCTGTGTTGCAATCAGAGATTCATTTTAACTCTAAAAATGAATCTTATTTCCCAAATATAACCGCTCGGTAAAGATATGAGAAAAGGCTTCTGCATTATGGATCTATCAACAGTGGGATGTTTACTATTGGATTCGGTGTAGCAAGTTTTTCTGTATTTACTTGTTGTGGAAGCTTAATTTGTTATGTGCAATAGAGTGAGAGAAAGGGGTGCACCATTGAAAACATCTGTTTCATATGCCTGATTTAGTTATGAAGTACACAGGTGTTCCTTGGCTGTGAATGTTTAAACTTAATATCTCTGTTACACAAAGGAAGCTACTCTAATTCATGGATGTATTTTAATCAACTTTGGGGCAAGTTTCCTGTAACCATTTGAGGATACGTGAAATGTATTTCAAAATGCACATCAGTTCAAAGCTGTGTTTTACTTTCTAGAGTGTGATACAATTCCCATTGAAGTCAAAGGAAAGACTCCAGCTGATTTCAGTGGGAGTTAATGACCAGTCTAAGTATATTTAGTGGCTAATGAAGTTTGACCCTGGGAGTCTAAGGTTTCCAGCAATTGGGGGGGAGGCTGTGTTAAGAGCCAGCATGCTATGCTTCAAGCATAAACCAGCAACAGCCATGCCTTCTGTCTAGGTTAGGATCAAATCTATCCTTGTTGCCCCCCTTTTTACCATAAGTGCGGGTCCTGGCTGCTGCTTACTGTTTTGCTTTCTTCCTGTGCCTCCACTTCACCAGCATGATTTTAGCAACTGCCATGTCACTTGCACCTACAAGTACAGATACATGCTTTCTGCCCTAGGACTGCTAGAATGACAAGTTTTCAGATGGAGAATAGCATTACCTCCAACTATCAGTTCTTGAGGTGCAACTATTAAAATCAGACTGGCATTTAAAAGGTGAAGGAGAAGACAAGATGGGAATTAGAATTACATGATTTCAGGGTCTGATATCTTGAAGCAAAGATAAAGAGGAAAAAATGCTAATACAGGATTAGTTTCTATCCACTTGCATCTGAAGAAGTGAGGTTCTTACCCACGAAAGCTTATGCTCCCAATACTTCTGTTAATCTTAAAGGTGCCACAGGACCCTCTGTTGCTTTCTATCCACCATGTCTCATGAGACATCAGACCTTAAAACTGTCACTGGTCCTTCAAATCAAGCAAAAATCCTGGCCTAGATGGTAAGAGGCCTTTAAGCATCCTGCCCAATCTGGCCCAGTGCACTGCCTGGTGCAGGTGAAGATCATGGGAGCAGACTCCAGCTATCAGGAGGCAGTTTGTTTAGAAACAAAGGATGAAATCCTGGCCCTATTTAAGTCAATGGCAAAACTTTCTCATTTACTTCAATGGGCTTGGATTTCACCCAAGACATCTTACCTGGTGAATTTTAAAAATATTCATTATATAACAGGAAAAACGAGTGAGACAGGCATAATCCCTCAAAAATCCACTTGAGCAGGTTCTCTGAATAAGGTGGTGCGCTAACCCTGGACAAACTACAGACATTAAATAAAGAGCCTTTTAGTACTTTTGTTGTATGGTTTTAATCTATTTTCAGTGGAAGCTCTGACATATTAGATAATCTAATAAACCCATGAGCCACGTTTTTACTGATGATGATCAGCTTGTGTGCTGTGTATGGATGTGATTGTTTCACTAGAGAAGATGCTACATTTATAAATTTTTTTTGTGTGGAAAGCAGTGAAGCCAAGAATGACTAGGAGGAAACCAATACAATGTTTGTTGTCCAGGCAGAGCTTCTGTTATACTCTGCAGTGCTTGAAAATAGAAGGAAGAATATTTAACTGGTCTGAGCAGCTGTGCTCTGCAATATTCACAACACATGTTTCAAGGATTTATGACTTATTACAACAATATATAACCCACTAACAACCCTTCCCCACAACTACCTTCCCCCCCGCCATCTTCTTGCCCCCCCCCCCATGCCTGGAGGGGTGTTAATGGGCCACTTCACCTTGAATGGTTCCTTGAAATGTGTATTAACTACTTATGTTAAACAATCTGTTCCACCTTATATTTAGCTGTGGCACTGTGAGTCTGGCTTTGTCTACAAGAGCATTGTGTCAGTTGGGTGTGAAAAAAACACACCCCTGACTGACATAAGTTTCACCGACCATAATACTGGTGTAGACGGTGCTATGGTGGCAGGAGAGGCTCTCCTGCTGTCATAGTGACTACCGCTCGTTGGAGGTGGCTTAATTATGTCGACAGGAGAGCTCTCTTCCCTCCAGCAAAAAGTGGCTAAACGGGAGACCTTGCAGTGTAGACCTGGCCAAAAGCTAGGTCTACACTGGCACTTTTGTCCCTCAGGGGTGTGAAAAAACACCCCCCTGAATGACACAAGTGTTTTATCAACGAAAAGCGCCAGTGTGGACTGTGCTTTGTTGGCGGGAGCCATGCTTCTGTCGACGAAGTTACCGCCCCTTGGGGTGGTTTTATTTTGTCGCTGGGAGAGCTCTCTCCCGGCGATAGAGCAGCTACACAGCGCACGTTACAATGGGACAGCCACCCAGTGTCAGATGCGCTGTGTAGACATAGCCGTAGTTTCACAGACCTGAAGAAGAGCCCTGTGTAGCTTGAAAGCTTGTCTCTCACCAACAGGAATTGGTCCAGTACAAGATATTACCTCACCCACCTTTTCTCATTAATTTCCCCTTTGTTGTGTCATTTCTATGCAACCAAAAGGATATGAGAAGATTATAAAATGGTATTAAAAAATTCTGATTTGTCTATAGTTGTGCTTTAACAAACAACATCATATTAAAATCCACAGTACCCTTCTGCAAGTAATGGCTACCGACTAGCCCCAGTTATCTACACTATGGATCAAATCCTGCAGCTCTTACTCAGGACTTAGGACTGCAAGAGTTGATCTCAAATATCATCCTAGCTGCGTAACATGGGTTTAATAAAGATTTCTATCCCAAAGATCATTCCAGAGATTCACACCTAAAATGAGACAGAGGAGTGATCTGAGCACAAAGTGGAGGAGCCAGGAACTCCTGAATTCTGATCCCAGCTCTGAGGCCTTGCACAAGTCATTTATTTTGGGGCAGGGCCCAGAGGCACAAATCAGGACCTTGATGTGCTAGGTGCTGTACTGAGACACACAGTTCCTTCCCCAAAAGAGCTTACTTTTCTGCTTCAATTTCCCATTCTGTAAAATGAAAATACGAATATGTACTTATCGGGGTGTTGTGAGGATTAATTAGTTCACATTTCTAAAGCACTTAGAATGTGGAACACTATATAAATGCTAAGTGCTGCTATAAAACAGCTTCAATTTAATTTCTCTGAAGGCCATTATTATCCATTATTGCTCTTCCTGTGCTATTTAATGACAGTATGGTACCCCCAGAAAAGATTTAACTAACCTTTTCCAAATTTACAATTAATGCATTTTCCTCTCAGTGCTGTGACAGTTCAATGAACAGCCTAGAACACCTGTATTGAGACTCAATAACTAGATCAAATAAGCTGTGTGTTAAATGCTGCCTGGTGGTGAGCCTTGCAGCACACTGAATGCAATTATCAAGGCTCAGGAAGCAGCAGCTTTTAAGACAATCTGTTACTTACATTAGTTGCCTTTATTCTGAAGAAGGAGAGAAGGTCACAGCTGACTGCCCTTCGATTCAAACAGAAAACAGGTTGGCTTATTCTTTTTTTTTTTTTTCTGGAATGCTGTTGGACTTCCTTTTCAGTGTGGTCAGACAAAGCAGGCAGGAAATGTGCTAATCTAACACAGCCGGAGATGTGCCAGGTGTGTCTTCATGTTCCGATAATTTGACTGGACTTTTCATTAAAATTGCTGAGACACCTGGCAGCGGTAGTTAAAGGGGCGATTTTGAGTAGGCAAAGTGCTATCTGGTTAAAGAAGTTCTAGCTAACATAGATCATTGATGATTATTTGCTCTTGTCTATCGTGATCAGCATGACTAGGCAATGAGGTACAACAGGCCATGCGGTAGGGCTTGTCTATGCTTAAAATGCTGCAGCAGCACAGCTGCACCGTTTCTGAAGTGCTTCAGTGAAGACACTACCTACGCCAATGGGAGGGCTTCTCCCATCGACGTCTGTCATTGATCCACCTCCCCAAGAGGCAGTAGCTAGGTCAATGGGAGAATGTTCCTGTTGACCTAGAGTTGTCTACACTAGGGGTTAGGTCAGTTTAACTGCATTGCTCAAGGATGTGGATTTTTCACACCCCTGAGTGACGTATTTACCTACTGTAGACCAGGCCTTAGAGTGATTTTTACATACATCTGAGAGTGGTGGGAGCTCCATTTGCAGCCAGAGTCAAAAAGTTATTTTGTAATTAGGCACAATATTATA